CCCGCTAATCAGCTGGCAAAACACAGATTCATGCAGCCAGCACCATAAAAAAATTTACATCCGTACCCCACAGCTTCCTCTTGGAATAGGTGGGTTCCTACCCACCAGCGCCGAATGCCTGGTATTCGGTCTGCTTGGTGTGCATGGAATTGTGCTGTGCACAGCACTGGATGTGGCTACGTCGGTCACGGTAAGTGAGCAGAATGTTCAGTTAAGGCCATGTTGGGGAGAAACAGGCGCAACAGAATCCCCCTGGAGAGGGGGAGGTAGGTTTGGATAGCGGGTGCACCACGAGTGCCCTGGTTTTAGGGAGCAGAGCTGAAGATGCTGATTCTTCTGGGCCCCTTCACATCAGCTCAATCAGGCTAAAGTCACTATAAACCCTGAAGGATTTCTCCAGCCAGTGCATTGCTGTGCTCAAGCTACTCTGATCTGCAAAACCACCTCACAAGCTAGTTTCCCTTAAGCCGGGGACTGGACTAGTTCCCACAAGGCTCCAGAATTCAGGGAACCAAAGGGGGGCCCTGAGACACCTGCAAGATGAGAGCTGTGCAGAACAGAGCTTGGAAGCTAGACCAGAGCATGGACATCAAGTGGAATCCCCTGGGGGGGGGGGCTCAAACTGCTCCTCACTGTGTGCAGCATTTTGCATTCTCTGGCTGTGGGCAGCCACACTAGTGAAACGACAGAAACGTGCCTGGATAAGTGATAGGAAGCTAATTTAGATTATGGATAACAAAGCCAGGTAAATACAAAAGTGAAACGTGCAGGTAAGCAAAGCGCTGTGCTTATTCCAGTTAATCAGTTGTAGATCAGACCTCACTGGCGTCGTCATTTAGCTAATGAATTCATGTGATTGCTCAGAAGTATCTCAACTGCTACCAGGGCTTGTTTATCTCTAACACTGCACCCATCAGCTTTTCACAAAGCGAAATTCCTTCAACCTGAGATCAGACAAGATGGGCCCAACGCTAAACTTCCATAGACCATGGTCTAGCCCTGTTCTCTTCTATCTAGACTCTAGTGGGGTTTTTAACCTTTGTATTTGGCTACCACATGACCTATCAAGGAAAACTCTACCAACTACTGTGTAACCCTCAAGGTAGCAAGAGACAGAAGACTATTGAAAAATTCTGGTCAGTTGGCCTGTGCATTTGAAGGTATGCTGTGTCCTTCCAGCTCTGAAAGTCTTCAGTTTAGCTCTGCTAACACCATTAACTTGTGCAACTGGCAGGCTTTGAACTAGGGGAGGTGAGAGCAGTTCTGTTCAGACCCTCCAACATCAACACTGAGTGAGTAGAAAGTCTTACAAAATATTCTACTTTATCCGATTAAAGTGAACTATGAACAGAACTTAATGCTGGCTTGGCTTTGCTAGGCAGTGGCCCTTTAAAACATGTGCCACAGAAGTTACACCGAATGCTCCCACTTCAACTCAGCTCTAGAATCTTTGTCTGGTTCAGCACTCCTCCATTCTTGCTAATGGCAAGTCACTTGTCCATAACCCGCCGTTTCCATTCTTGTCCTGGAAAAACCCTGTCTGTTTGCGGCCGCCTGATTGTTCCCTCGCTCACAAGCATTCGCTTCAACCGTTCTCCCCGTAGTTCTGAGTCCAAAGCCCAATGGAGAGTGGCAGGTTCCAGGAATAGAAATAAGTGGTAGGTTGCTAAGCTCTCTGAAGTATGACCCTGGAATCTTACTCTGGGGTTGGCTTTGGCTCCAAAGTGCTGCTTGTGACTCACATCCCAGAAGTATTTTTAGGAAAAAAGCTGCCAAGCTTGGTGAGTTTCTCTTTCCATGCAGAGATACTTGGCCCACGCATGTATTGACTCAGCAGATTTTTCTTGAGGATAAATGCCTGTGGTCAGATGTAAGTACGGCCTCTCGGTATCGCACAGGGCCAGACTCGCTGAGTGTGGGTGCTAGGGCAGCTAGCTGAGTGTGGGTAGCAGTGTACAGGAGGGAAAGCAGTGCACTTTTGCACAGGCACAGCAGCAGGGCGACTAGCATGATAGGCCAGATAGTGTGGTTAGAACTACGGGGGAGGTACAAGCAGCATGGTTAGAACTACGGGGGAGGTACAGGCAGGTGTGGGGAAGTGCAGTGGGAGAGGAGTAGGCTGGAGAGTTGGCTCTAGGGGGAAATGCAGAGGGGGAGTCGCTAAGCAGTATGCTGAACTTCTAGTTTTAAAACGGGGCGCGCCTCTTCTCTGGGCAGGATACTAGGCTAATCTAGGCCAGTTGAAATTCTTGACCTTTTCCAGCAGGCATGGAAGAGTAGGTAGTGTCTTGTCCCATCTATGTAGTGTTACAGGATAGGACCAGGGTGAGCAAAATACAGCCCATTGAGCTGTGTCTGGCCCACCAAATGTCTTCCTCCAGGCCAGAGGAACATGTCCCACTGCCCTGTGGGGTGCTCAGGCAGTCGGCTCATGGGAAGCACCTTAGCTTGAGGCTGCTGGCAAACATGTTTCTGCACTGCCCCAGCCCTCAGCACCATAGTCCACGCTCCCATTGGCCAGTTTCTATTGGTACTGTTTGCAGGTATGGTCACTCCCTTCCTCCCCCAGGGCACACAGATATAGGGCCACCATGGCATGCGGGCAGCCTGAGGGCACTTCCAGTCAGGAGTTGCCTAGGTTGCCAGCCAGATCCTGCACCTGGGACCTCCCTTGCACCCCAACCTTTATACCAGAGCAGAACTCCTTCCTGCACCACAAGCCCTACTCAGAGCTCCCTCCTGCACCCAAACTAGGGATGTTTTCAATATCGTGTAATTGAATCATGTAATCACATTAAATCTTAGCAGTTACACAACTATTCAGTAGTCCCTGCGGGGGCAGAGCTGGCAGCCAGTGCACTCCTGGCCCTGCTCCTGGAGTGCCCCCTGTCACCCCGTGCTGCTGCCTCTGTGGGGGTAGATAGGTCTGCAGAGCTGAAATGCGCCTGCCTGAAAGCCAGCTCCGCACGCATATCCACTCCAGCTTGCCCCTTCACCCTCTGTGCTGCTGCCTCTGATACAGAAACAGCCGGGGAGGGGGAAGGGGAGAAAGTATTTGTGGTCAACAAAATTAACTGATAGAAACTGGGCTACACGCTGACACCCCTAACCCAAACTCTCTGTCCCAGACCCCACATCCCCTCCAATAATATAATAGAAAAGTGCAGCCTGTGACCAGGTCCCAAATTCTGTGGCTTCCCTGCAAACATTTTTGCCTGTTCTGACCACAATGACTCCAATTCTGAGCCTAACCTGAATTCTGTCCTCCCTTGTACGGTAAATGTCTGTTTCATCCATACTGCAGCTTGACTAAAACGTGCACGCACTAACGCTACAGATGTGGTGGAAAGTCAGATGGGAGAGACTAGTCTTGTACTAGGGTGTGGATTGAATAGTTTAGCTCTAATCTCTTACACATGGAACATCTAGGAGCCAATTGTAACTTCACTCTAGTTTTCATCTGACAGGCGGAGAGGCGTGCGTGATTTTGGGGGATTATTGCAGGCTTAGCCAAACTGTTCTTTGGCTCCAAACTTCTTTAGCATCCAGATAAAAATCTTTGTCTGTTTTGCAGAAAGCCTATGCACTCTGGACTAGCCAGCCGAGGGGGATTCACTTAAGTATATGCAAATGGCTGCAGAATTTTTCAGTAGAATGTGCCCAACTTTCTACCTTGCTGCTGATTCAGTTATAACGTGGAAGGATCTTAAACACATTACACTTCTGCGTGAGGGGCTGTCCTCGCATTTGCTTGCTCCTTTGTCCAGTCTGAGCTGGACTAGGTTGTTGGGGGTGGGGCCAGTCTCAGAGAGAGGGAGCTCCATGCCACCAGACGAACTTCCTGACTTTCTCCTCTAGGGATGGACCTTTCAGCCAATCAGGATGAGGAGACTGACCAGGAAACCTTCCAACTGGAGATTAACAAGGACACCAAGAAGTGTGCCTTCAGGACCTATACTGGGAAATACTGGACCCTCACCTCCAACGGCGGGATACAGTCCACTGCCTCAGCAAAGTAAGTCTGAAATCTCTTGAAGTAGGCAGGGCATTCTGCTTGGTGGATGTCTCTGGGGCTGAAGAATCCAAAGCTCTTGTCTTGTGTGTAGAATTGTGGCACCCTGCGTATACAGCTGTTCTAAGGCAGCTCTGAGATCCCAATGTGGGGCTGGAAATGCCCGATCCAGGGTCTAACAAAACAACTGGTAACCCCCAAGATTGTCCACCCCCATGGGAGGCTGAAATGCCGGTGTCTTCATTTGCAACTACAGATGCATTCGAGGGGCGCACAGGCAAAATATGCTGCTGAGGTGAGGGTGCATGGCCCTACGAGGGTGGCCATACCATGCCTGGTAAAGAGGCCTCTTTAGGTGAAGGCCTCAACCCTCTGCAGGCGTCGCCTTTAAATGACTTGGTCTAAATGGCCTTTTTGGAGGGGTGGAGGCAAATAGTAACTGTTGTCCATTGTTACGTATAGAGACCACCAGGTGGTAGCTGAAGCAGTCACCTTGCCAAACTTCAGAGGAGGCTGTAATAAGGCGCTTCAGAGGCCAACAGGAATGAATAATCCTCTGATGGTTTTATGTGAACATTGGATGTAAATTACAGGTTGGGGTGGGGAATCTTTTTGAGTCGGGGCCACTGACCCATGGAAAAATCAGTCAAGGGCTGGGGGTGAGATGAAAATCACTCTATGGTCTGGCCCCCAACCAAGGAGTGGGGGGGGAGAGGGGAGAAGCTCCAGCCCCATGTGGTGGTGGGGGGGAGGGGAGGGAGGGAGAAGAGACGTCAAGGCTCAGGTCTTATTCCCAAGGTCAGACCAACTCTTCTGGGGGACCTGGGGCTCAATCTACTAGCCCCACAGGGCTCTGGGAGCAGGCTCAAATGAGGGATTCATTGTGCAGGAGGGTGCTGCTGGGAAGCAGGGTATGTAGGGTGGGGGGGTCTGGGCAGGAGGTGGAGTGTGGGGGATGGAGCACCCTCAGCCTCACTGGCTAGACCTAGCCCATGGGCCATAAGTTCCCCCACCCCAGATACCTTATTGCTTATAAATATAGTCCTGATTAGGCTGCGTGCATGCCCTTGTAGCACAGCTGGCATTCCAGAGAATGACCACTGTTAGGTCCTCTAACAGCTGTGCCATCTGCACAGGCCCTACTCCATTCCCCCCCCCCCCCCCAAAATTGGGCATTCCCACCTTTCCAAGCAAGATCCCAACATCCTGTGTCCCTTTCCTTGTGCCCCAAGACTCCATGCAGCAGGCTTCATCCATATCTGTGCAGCAGAGTCTTGGTGTGTCTGAAGCTAGGCCTGATAAATAGTGGTGCATTTGGCCATATGATCCACCCTTGCCAAAAATGAGTGTTGGTGCATCAAGTGGGACATTGCACTACTTTGGCTAGTCACATCAGACTGATTTAAACCCTGCACAAAGCTGGAGGACTCTGGGCCCTAGTGAAGGGCCACAGCCGGCCTTGCAGGCAACACTCTAGGCCATGGGATTCATGGATAAGTGTTTCATTGCCCTTTGTAACCAGCATCCAAGGGGATGTGGCCTCCCTCATGTGCCAAGGAACATCACTCTCCTAGCAGGAGGGTCGTTCTGACTTCAGGGGAGAATTTAGACAGAGGAACTAAAATCTCTAGGCAAGTGAGCCTGAGATTCTGTAACAGCACTCTAGAAACCTCTCCTAGTAACACAATGGACCAGCCATCCCTGTTATCCACTTCCAGTTAGTCTTCAAGCACTGCTTGAAGGAATCCCCTTTGATTTCATAATCTTTAAACGGCATCTGGACCTTGGGGCATCCATTCATTTTGAGTGCCTCAACAGAATGGAGATTCTGGAGTCTTATGTCTAGTCTGGAAACCTAAAGTAGATCTGCAAAGATGCCTGCTCCCTTTTCCCCCTACCCAGAACATCTTCCTGGCCACACAAGGAAAACCTAAATAGCTGCTGTTTGGGACATGCCAAGGCTTTTGCCCTGTTTAAACAGCAGCTATTTAGGTTTTCCTTGTGTGGCCAGGATGAGCTGAATGAAGGTGAACGTAGCCCATTGCCAAGATTATAGTCTGCTCTGCTAACTGCTGGCTGTTCAGACCTAAATTGCCCAATAGGTGGTGGGGATTATCAGCCTGAAAAAGATGCTGGGAGGCTTGGTGGACTTATCGCAGCATCAGCTGGCCTGGCTGGCCGCATAAGCCTTTGCAGAATAGGCTCTTCTGTGGGCCCCAAGCTACATGCTGCTCTTCTGTCTGGAGGAGAATGGTCTCTTCTCCCTTCCTCCCCCCATGTGGCTCCTGCCTTCCCAATGGCTTGTTTGCTGTCTTGGCTGCTGCAGGAACGCCAGCTGCTACTTTGACATCGAGTGGTGCGACAAGCGCATCACCCTGAAGGCAGCGAATGGCAAGTATGTCACGGCGAAGAAGAACGGGCAGCTCGCAGCCACTGTTGAGGCAGCAGGTGAGGTTGCCTTGGCCTCAGTAGCCTAGTGATTTCTGGGAAACCAAGGCTGGGGATGATGCCGGGAGAGCTATAAACCTTGGACCTTGTTGCTTGGGGTATTCTGTGCTGCCCTCCCTTGCGTGTTTCGGCATGAAGGTGGTGAGCAAGAGAAATCTCCAGGGTGGCTGTCTCCTCCCCTGGTTCTGGTGGACCAGACTGGAGGAGATAAACGGGTTTGACGTGAATTCCCTTGGCGGCTGTAACCCATCCCGTCTAATCTAAAACTGTGAAAGGCTAGCTTGGAACATCTTAAAGGGCAGGGGTAGGTGATGGTGGGTGGGGACCCCCAAGCGGGATCTCCATGGCACACCTCTCGTGTTAATTAGCCAGGTACCTAACCCCCCTTCCCTCCACCTTTCTGCTGGGCAGGTGAGACAGAACACTTTGTGATGAAGCTGATTAACCGGCCAATTATTGTCCTTCGTGGGGAACACGGCTTCATTGGCTGCCGGAAGGTGACTGGGACCTTGGACTGCAACCGTTCCTCCTATGATGTCTTTCAACTGGAGTTCAATGATGGTGCATACAATATCAAAGGTCAGTCCTGCTAGCATGCAGCCTTGGTCCACCTGCTCTTCATATGGTAACATGTGACCAAACGATCTTCCATGAGCGTTGTTAGCTGTGATACTCACCTAAGGGTTCACACCTCTGAACGCCAACAGCACAGACCAAGACACTGGCACCCTTCCATAGAGCAGAATACCTAGGCTTTTTGGATGACTCTCTTCTGTGGTTAGGCCCCCTAGAATTACAAAGTTAAGCAGTCAGATCTGGCTGAGAACCAGTGCTTTAGAAAGCAATCGGGTAGTCTGCCGTGAGTACATCTAGATTACTGTAGGTATCATTCCTGGGAGTAGTCTGCCGTGAGTACATCTAGATTACTGTTTAGTTTTACAACAGGCTATATTAAAAAGTGCTAGCAAAATCAATATGGATGAGAACCTTGTACCATGATTAGCTTACACTGCTATCTATTTTATCATTGCATGATAAAAATGAGTACTGAATTACTCGGTGAGAGTGTGCTGTGACACACTTATGTAACAGTTGTGGTTTTTTAATGTAAATGGGGGATATGCAAGGAAACTCAGGCTCCTGAAAAGGGGTACAGTAGCCTAGAGCTAGTGCTGTAGTGACAATTGGCTTTCTACTTGGCTGGAGTGGCCTCAGTCAAGGAGACTTCTTTGTGCTCGGCTCTGGTTTCTCTGTGACCAACCTAAGCAGTGGCAATTCTGGTGCATTTGAGTCAATCATCCATAAAGCCTAAACCTCCTTGCTCTTGTAAATGCTCTGCCGCAGGGCTGAGGGACGGCTCTGTGTTCCCACTAGTCCTTGGCCTCCTGGAGACTGGCAACAGCGCCAGCAACCAGACCGTTTGGACCACATTCAGTTAGCGTAGTGGTGGGCCACCTGCATCCCATTTGGGTTCTACTCTTGGCCAGTGAGACAATTTTAGTCGTACCCCTGTGCAGGGTTGCCAGACTGCACCCAGAAACCAGTGGCAGGCTTTCCCCCCTACTGGTATTTAAAGTGGTATGCACATAAAGCTCAGGCAAATGGAAGTGAGGCGTGTGCTGATTGCACAAAACCTTGACTAGGAGAGCCGTGTGCTCCCTCTGCAGCTAATCAAAGCGTGGCTACCATTAAATTGGCACATCCCATAAATTCTAGCTACCCAAGCACAGGTAGCAAAACTACCCTGTCCTGAGGTAAGTCCGTCCCCCCAACAAGTTGCACAGCTTCCCATTAAGTGCTGCCCAGAGCCTCATGGCTGCAGCAAGGGGAAACTTTCTCCCTCCCTTCCCTCCCCCTCCTCCCCCCCCAAACTCTGAAGCTGCAGCAGCTGAAGGAAAGCGGCCCTTCCTCACCATCCCACCGGGGAGCCACCCAGGTAAGTCCAAGCCCCACCCTGAGCTCCCCAGCTCTGAGCACCTGCCTGCCCCTAATGTCCTCATTTTTCTCCCCACTCCGCCCCTGACAACCCCAAAGCCCATGCCCAGAGCCTGCACCCTGCTCTTATACACCAACTCCGGCCCAGAGCCCCCTCCTACACTGAGCCCCTTGCCCCATGCCTGCCCCACAAATTTTATGTGCGCCAATATGGAGGTGATGCAGGCACATCACCTCCACAGGGTGCAAAATACTAGTGAACACTGACCTGGAGAGACCACACCTTAGTTATGATGTCCGGAGGGTCACTCAGGCAGCCTGCTCGCTAGCCTCGGTTGCCCATGAGCTTGCATTTGCCTCTGGATGGGGGCGAGTTGGTCCCTGCCGATGAACTTGGGCTGGAGTCACTAGGAGCAAGATGCTGAGTTGAGTGTTGGGTTGCCTAGCTGCTGCTCCTCCCCACGATCGCAATGACTGCTGAGCCTTGGGGGTCTTGTGTCTGCCCTAAGTTGTCAGAATCCAGGGTCAGGAAGCAAGCACAGGAAACAAGCAGGCTGGCCTTGAGCTGCAAAACTGGGTTGCCTTTCCAATGTCCGAAAGGTCTGTGGATATTCACCTGATCTCTAAACTGAGCCCCCTTTCCAAGGAGCTGGCTACCACAGAGCCTTCTCTCACTCCAGCACGGTGGATCACAGCTCCGTGGGGATTGTAATGCTCCCCCACCCAGTCTGAGACTTCACCACACACCCCTCTCCATTCAGCTTAGTAACTGGCACAAAGGGAAAAGCTTGCATTGGGGGCTCTCCACTGTCCCCAGCATATCATGGGCATGGGGGACAAGTGTTCTCTACCCTCTGGTGTCTATTCCAGACTAGGGATGTAAGCAACTATCTGATAAATATGCTTATCTGATATTCAACTGGTCACTTCTTCCCCCCTCCCCCCCCGCTGCCTCTGTTTCAGAGCAGCAAGGGAGGGGAGCAGGAGCTGGTGCTGGGGGGGGGGAAGGGGGCAGAAGGGGAAGTCTTAAAAGCCAACCCCCCGCCTCCCCTCCCAGCACCATCTCCATAGGCAGGGGCTTAGCAGGGAACTTGTGGCGCTTCTGCCTTTCCCCCCCCAGCACTATCTCCATGGGCAGTGGCTGAGCAGGGAACTTGTGGCGCTTCTGCCTTTGAAATGTAGCAAGAGCAGGGCTCAAACAGTGCTCCCTGCTGGCCCTGTGCTCCCTGCTTTTGAAATGTACCCTGGCATTGACTATTCACTTAATTGATTGATCGTCCTTATTCCAAACGTCACTCATTTAGGTCGTGGCTCTTCTTCTCTGTCCTCACACTCTCTGCAGATTCCACTGGGAAGTACTGGATGGTGGGGAGCGAGTCCTCTGTCACCAGCAGCAGCGATACACCCGTGGACTTCTTCTTTGAGTTCTGCGACTATAACAAAGTGGCTATCAAAACCAACGGCAAATACCTGAAGGGTGACCATGCTGGCGTCCTCAAGGCTTCCACCGACGCAATCGACCCCTCCACTCTCTGGGAATATTAAATGCACTTTAGCTCCACCCTTGCCAATTTTTTTTGTTTGGTTTCTCTTTTCTCTGTAAAGGATTTTTCAGGCTGGCTTGCTGCTCCCTCCTGCCATAGAATCCAATGTCACTTGTTGGAGGTTGGTCTTCCTTAACTCTTAAAACTGGATATAACGTAGGGAAAAATGCAACCTGGCTCTCTAGAGCTAGTGGTGTCTTTCCTTGGGTTTGTGTTGGGCTTGGAAACTAGTTGCCATTCTCCACCCTAGCTCTGAGCATCACCTATGTCGTCCTCTCTCTTCCCCTAAACTTAAAGGGAATAAGATCACCTCTGCTCTCTTGTCCACTGGCGAAATCCATGCTTTTATCCAGCAAAGACTAGCTTGAACAAAGCTGGAGAATCTGCTAGTGCCCAAGACCCATGATGTTTGCTCAGATCAAGGGAGGGAGGATGGGTTACTTTGAATCCCTGTTTCTGCTATGATTAAAATCTCAATAGTTCCAAGCATTTGGGGGGGGGGGGACCCTTTTCTCTTTTTCCCT